CCAAACCCACATCTTCTCCTCCTTCAGCTTTAATTTGAAAATTGAATTTCACCTTTTCTCAAGCAATACATATTCTCTCTGGAAGTCAAAAATCCCGCATTAGTCGTCAGCTATTCCTGGTACTTACTTCATGTTTTGCCATTTTGTCTTAGCCTTCTTTAGGGTTTAACCTATTCTTAATGGGGTTTTGTGATTATAGATCCGTGTCGGCTTAAAACCTAGGTATTCATTTTCGATTTCATTTGTTTCCCTTTTGAAAATGCTCTTTCTAGTAAGTTATATGTCGAATTAAGGGTGTGATTCTTTCTGGGTTGCATTTTATTTTTGGTGTTTTTCGCTGAGAAGTGAGAAGGTTTAATTGAAATTTTGAACTTGTGATGTTTAAAGATGCTCATGTTACTGTATCAAATATGTCCTTTTGGATTGTTTATTAAAGTGGAAATCTGTGTTTTGCAAAATGAATTTTTTCAAGTCCAGCAGATGAAGATTAATAGACCTAGATAATTTAATATTATCTTCTGTTTTTATGGCGTATACCAATGCTGCCAGAAATATTTGATTTATAACTGTAGATTTCTACCTCTGTCTTGTCCTTTTAGTTGGAGCCATGAGCTATAAGCGACAATCACACCACTAAATAACAACATTCGGAGCTTGCTAGATAAAAAGAAATTTAATATCTGATTCCTTGGGCTACCCGGGGTGTGGCCTAATGGCAACCTATAATGGACCATAGGAGATCATGGTTCTAGTTCTAGCATAGGCAAAAAAGAAAAACGTAGGTGATTTCCTTCCGTCGTTCTAACTCTTGGCAGCCAGAGATACTCGATATATGTGCTGGTGAAAGGTAGCAAGTACTCAGTGGGCTAGTCGAGGTGTGGCAAGTTGACATGCACGCCGCCTTTGTCTAAAAATTATTTGATTCTTCAGATTGCAGATATCATAGAAGAGTGTCTTGATCTTTAGATTGATTTTGCCTTCTTCAATGGCTCATTTTTCGGTAAATTAAATAAGGAATTCGTGGGTGCAATGCGTGCCACACAATACGTGCATGACCGTAATTGTAGATTCAAATAGTATTACGTTTACTATAGAAAGGCTTGGAAAATCTTAAAATGCTTAGAGTTAGATGCTTAATGTTGTGCCTGGGACTTGGAGATGGTTTTGGGTTTTAGATTGTCCAGGAAAGTTGTTTGGAGAATTACATACAGCTCCATCTTCTCTCAACATATGCCTGATATTCTGATTCCGATATGGATATAGACAATGTAAACATGGAAAGCAAAAGTGATCGCAAGACCTGCAAGTATATTTAAACAATTGCCTGGAAAAGCACTTGCAAGAGGTTTTGTTTTCTGCAGGTTTCTGTGACAATGGTGCTCATGTCCTATATCTTATGTTCGTAAATCGCTGAAACTCAACTAGTGTTTGAGATATATCTTCTCCACCAGTTTTCTCGCTATCATGTCAATAAAACCTTTTGGATTGCAACTATTTGCTTAAAGTAAACAAGGAGAATAGTGTTAATATGTCATGCATCATGAGATCTTGGAGAAGTTATCTTTCAGTGGGTTGTCATTTTGCCTTTTGATTAGTTAAATGTTATGGCATCTTACAGATGGTCTGGTCTTACTGACATTTTTGGATGTATCCCATTATCATCTATTACATGCTTATTTTATCACCAACTATTGAGGTGTTTAACCTTATTTGATGGAATACTTGGCTTATGCAGTGATTAACCGCTTATAAGAGCAATGGCAACTGGAAGTCCTTATTTTGATGACTTGCGATGTCAATCTGAGGTCATTAATCCTCCACGAAATGAAGACTGCACAGACATTGGTGAACATATGAATGAGCTTGCTCAGCATACAACAAAACCTAATGCGACTGTTTCTAGTAGTGTTCGTGAATTATTGGAATGCCCAGTGTGCTTAAATGCTATGTATCCACCCATTCATCAGGTATGATTATCTGAATTTCTTGCTGCTAAATGCTGATGGATCCCTTTACCTGCCTTTGCTTAGGGTTATGTTCTAAAAATACAATGTTTTCTCATTCACCTCTTTAGAGATGGGATTTTCAA